AGAAAGAACCCAGGCCTGGGAGTCAGGCAGACCCAAGTCTATGACACAAGGGTATGGTGTGGGTCCCAGCCCTGCCACTCACATAGGCAAGGAGCTCAGTCTTGTTTCCCTCATGTGGGAAATGGGGGTCAGTTCTGCATGGTGGCTAACTGAGTGAATGGCTGTTGAGTGTCCAGATCAGAGCCCGGAGTATGGTGTGCATTTGGCAGGCACTTCTTTCCAAACATCCCTTTTGAATCCCTGGGAATGAATCTTGCCAAAGAAAGGAGGGGATCAGGGAGGGAAGGGAAGGCCTGGTGGGGCCTGGGGGCGGGGTACTCACTTGGCTCGCAGGGCAAGCTGCCGATCATTGGGGCAAACCCACTGATCATTCCCACTGCCGAAGATGGTGTCAGCCATGGCTCCGTGCACCCAGCCAAGCGTAAAAGTCACATCTGAGATGAGAAGAGGGAAAAAGGAAGGGAATGCGTCACTGGCCGGAGTGCAGACGGCAGATAGGATTCCTCTGAATTCAGGTACCAGACACTTGACAATTTCAAACTATCTCCATTCACTGTCCCCTGCTGGTACCGGGAATCTCACCATTAGAATCATTCCTCCAGCAAAACACTGCTCCCTCAGAGCTTATAATTCTGGGAGGAGTGAGTAGATACAGCATGTGGCTAAATGATAAGAGTGAATATGGCCGGCTGGCTGGCCACCAAAGGGTTAGAATCAGAAAGAGAAGAGGCACACCCTGTGTCACATTTCAGCTCAGCTGGCTGGCCCTTTCCAGCACAGCTGTGCTGAGCACATCACCCTGCAAGAGGGGCCTGGGCCAGCGGGAGGTGGCTGGACAGCCTGGGCAAGCCCCCCAGGGCTCCCAAACCTGGGAGACCTGAACAGTGGCCCCAAGCACATGGTTTCTGCTCCCAGAGGGCAAGGAATGGCAGTTGTAGCCAGGAGCATACCTGATGCAATGCCAAGGGCACCGTCCACAGGAGCTACAATCACCCAACGACCTGATGGCTTAATTTGGGCACAGTCTAGCTTAGTTGGCTTTCTCCTGGCTACCAGCAGTAGAACCAACTCTTGATCATCTGTTATGAGGTTCTGCTCATGCATTCTGGAAACTGAGTGTGTGACGGGACGGGGGTGAGAGTTTAAGGGTATTCGAGTCCCAGAGCAAGGATGAGCAGCTATACTCCCCCGGTCTAACCCCATCTAGACCAGTGGTTTACAAAGTCTGGATCTCTTTCCACTCTTAAAATGTTGAAGTTGGAAATATTAAACATGTAATAGCCATATGACCCAGAAACTCCACTCCTAGGTATAGACCCAAGAATACTGAAAACACTTCCTCATGAAAACCTGTACATCAACATTCTTAGCAGCGGTATTTCTAATATCCAAGAAGTAGAAACAACTCAAATATTCACAAATGATGAATAGATAAAATGTGCTATATTCGTACAATGGGATATCATTTTGCCGTAAAAAGAAATTAAATACTGAGACCTGCTATGACATGGATGGACCTTGAAAACATTATGCTAAGTGAAAAAAATCCAACCATAAAAGAGCACGTATTATATAACTCAATCTATGTGAAATGTCCAGAATAAGCAAATCCATAGATAGAAAGTAGATTCATGGTTATTAGGAGCTTAGGGAGCGACTGCTGGAGGCTTTCTTTTGGGGGTGATAAAAACGTTCTGGAATTAGATAGTAGTGATGGTCGCACAATTTTGTAAATATACAAAAACCACTCAATTATACCCTTTAAAAGTATGAATTTCCTAGTGTATGAATTACAACTCATTCAGATGACATAAAATACTCTTTTTTTTTTTTTTTTTTTTTTTTTTTTGAGACAGAGCCTCAAGCTGTCACCCTGGGTAGAGTGATGTGGCATCACAGCTCACAGCAACCTCCAACTCCTGGGCT